TTTTGTAATCGGGACGGAAGTTATAAGGATGATGAACGAATGCCTGTAAGTGAGTGTAATCGAGCCCTTAGGTTTTTAAGGCGATGACTTTTAGCGACGATCCAGCGTGGACCGATATGGATCGTTCGATAATAGATTATTTAAGAAGTTTTGAAGTTTCTTGCATTATAGATGCAACGGGATTCCGTTTGGTCCCATTCGTAATCGCTCGTCCGTTCGTTATACAATTTAATGTTGTATTATTTCTATATATATATATATATATAGGGTATGGTTCGATATAACGATGTTTCATGGTATAATGAATCCATGAGTACGATTTACTGCCATTCGTAGTAACGCGAGTAGGGAAAAAAGAGAATATCGAACAAATTTTTTAATATATTAAAAATACGTAAAATCTATTTCGTGAAAAAGGATTAACATGATTTGAATATCATTTTGATGAAACGATAATTTATTATTTTTTGATACAAGCTTAATAAATTTTTCCTGAAGATCAGGTATATCGACTGCCATTTAATCAACAATCACGATATAGATGAGAAATTTTACTATGTAGAAAAATCGATCGATTTTTTTTTTAATATTGTTCAATAATTATTCTTGCTTCCATTTCACTGCCATTGAAAATTTTTTAACTGACTGAATGTAAGATCAAAATAAAAAACAAAAATAGAGGCATTGTTTAGAAAAAAAAAAAAAAAAAGAAAAGCCTAAAACGAGCGTAGAATGGGGCCAATCATTCTAGTATCTAGTTGACGAAAACGTTGCTTGCCCGTACCGAGAAGAGTATAACGATTCGAAAAGCAAAAGTACGTTTTCATTCATTCATTATTTGCCCCCGAGAAGTCTCTACTACATATGCTTAAGCTTATTTGTTTCTGCGCTGTCTGGATTAAGATTCGCATTCTACTATTATTATTCGATAATCGTGCATTTTTCTGCACTTTTTGTGATAAACATAGTTTCTGTGGCACGAGCAAATGTTGTTCGATTTAAAAGAAGATAGGAATTTTTTACAAGAAAAAATCAACATCTTCGAAGTACCTAATCTTAATCCAGACGTGCGTCACCGTGACGCAATGCACACTACTTTATCACTTGTACATAATGTTAGTAAGGAAGAAACAAAAAGAAATCGAAGATTATATTTTTTCTATCGATCCAAAAATGTGGTGACCTATCAACATCGTGCATCCAAGATTAGTTTCATCTACGTTAGATACTTCATGTCCGTTCCGATTTGATTTTTAACTAACACATAATATCATCTAGTTTCATCAAGAAATCGGTAATATTGTATGTATAAAGTGTTGCTTGGATATCACAAAAATCACCAAGTTGCCTTTATGTTTTATGTGCCGTAGTGTTTTCGTTTCGTCGTTTTTAATTCATTCACAGAATTTTTAAGCTTTATGTTTGAATTTTAATCATAAGTTTTATTAAGCATGATACTGACCAATCGCCTGAACATTGCTTCAGACCACCACTCTCTCTTTTTCCCCAAATGTCTAGAACGCGGCGAGTGTTTTAAGAATATTATAAATAAAAGGAATCTGATTGTGAAACTCTTGTGTTATGTTAATGTGATTAAAAAGAAAAAAAAGGAAAAAAAGAAAAAAAACATTGTAAAGAACTAAATAAAGCATACATTTTACATTTATATGATTGATATTTTTTGCTCTTTTCCTTCTTGTTTAAATAAAATGTAAATAAAGTTAAAATAAACTTAAAATGTTCTTATGTGCTCTTACTCTCTTATTTATAATAATATTTATAATAATACATAGAAACGAGAGGGTATATATAAATACAATTTATAGATACTTTTATTTATTTTATAAACTATTGTAAAAGTTACAATTGTACATTAGAAAATGTAGCAGATAGAATAATACCTATTTTATGATAAGTGTGTATTTCGATTCATAGATAACATTTTACAATTTACCTGTAATACAAAACGTTCTTTACATACAGATGATGTATAATAGAATACTGAAAAAATGTATTACAGTAAATAGTTTATATTCTAAGCCAGGTATCAAATATGAAAGATGATATTGCTCTATACAAAATGCATTATTTCAAATAAATTAGCGTAAACGTGTCTTTTCAGGTATCTTTAAATACATTCCAAAAAGACATATTTCGAATTCAATATCCGAAGAACTCGATTTAAAGCAGCATACAAAAAATATTATTAATTATATTTCTTATAAATAGAATGTTTTGCCACTTTCATCGCTTTCTTTTTGAATAGTTAATAAAAATGCTTTTCCATGTTTAATATAATAATGGACGTAAAAAAAATGGCCCTGAGTGGCAAGCTAAAAATGCATATTCTTCATCGATAGTTTTATGGCTGTGAATGTTCGAGCTTGTATACATCATGATATGCATTACGTATTAGTGCATATGGAAAACAGCTTTCCAATAGATCCATCGTTAAAAATGGAGATTCTTGAACTATCTGGTCCAACAAAAGATATACGGATTCCCTGTTTTTAATTGCCTCTTTATCTGCCTCTTGTCCTAGTCTGAGTAAGCTGGAAGATGCTAAAGCAAGAAATTCTTTCATTCGATCTTCTATATCATTTTGCCCGCATATAGTAAATA